TATATATATATATATATATATATATACATATTTATATATATGCATATATACATGCTTATAAACTAACACTACTTAAAAACCTACGCTCGCAAATCACAGGACGACTGCATATTCATTGACAATCTGAAGTTCGTTAAACCGTTTGTGGAAAAACCCATCGATGCCGACGATCACAACATTCGCATATACTTTCCTGTAGGCGCAGGTGGTGGTTCTCAGGTATGAGTTGTCTCTCCTTGAAGGGCCATGTGTTCTCGGTTCATAACGTTACTGTGTAAGAAAACGTTGCTATGTCCAAAGCGTTTCTATTCCGTAAACGTTATTATTTGCGCTGGTGACTATTTAAGAGGCGACAGTGCACTACGGATTAGTGCACTTGTATTTTCCAGTTACGGGTTACGATATTTTGCTCTGTGTATCGTCATTGAATATATGCCTACATTCGCAGCATCTCTTCAGGAAGATTGGGAACAAGAGCTCGCAATTTGTACCGGATTGCAACGAAATTAGGTCAAATGGCAGCTATATCATCGAAGAGTTCCAGGCAACTGAAGGTATGACACACAATCACTAACTTCATTTAAGTTGCCTATTCGGAATAAGCGTGAGATGTTTATATAAGTTTAACTGAAGGGATGACAATCCATTTAGGTGGTTTATAGGGTTTAAGGACGAAATATTTATATATATTTAACTGGGGAACAGGCACACAACCGCTATCCAGTTAGCTAGTTTGTTCTATTTTGGACGCGATAAATATGTAAGTCAGATATAGACTAGATTGACGTGTCTATATGAGTCAGATATTGTCTGACTTGTCGAAGACAGACACGTTGAGTATTTAGAAAGTTGGATTGCATCAACCCATTATTTCTCAACTACATCGACTTGCTGGAACTTTAAGGTTCCGAACTCTCATAATTTATCAGGGATTATTACATATACCATGTACCCATATTTTTGGTATATTTATATACTTAGCACACCCAAATACCTATTGTTCGGCGTGTTTATATACTTAGCACACCCAAGTACCTAGTGTTCGGTGTGTTTATATACATCGCACACCCAAATACCTAGTGTTCGGTGTGTTTATATTTTTATCACACCCAAATACCTAGTGTTCGGTTGTGTTTATTTACTTTGCATTATTTACTTAGCACACCCAAATACCTAGTGTTCGTTGTGTTTATATACTTATCACACTCTGATACCCAGTGTTCTCATATACCTGTTACTCATATACTTAAAGTACTCGTATACAGTCTCTGTTACTCACACCCTTAGTCCACCCGATCTCAATCTCCTGTAGGAACGGACGTCAAAGTGTACACCGTTGGGGGCTTGTACGCACACGCCGAGGCCAGGAAGTCTCCTGCAGTAGACGGGATGGTGCAACGAACCAAAGACGGCAAGGAGGTGCGATTCCCAGTGTTACTGGACGCCCAGGAGAAGCTAATCGCGCGGAAAGTAGGTTTGACTGGGGTATCTGTATTCCTCTGCGATACGTTGCGTGAAAGGCGGGAGGGTAGAAAGTCACGGGTGTGTGACGGGCCGGTTCGATACTGTTAACATGCGTAATAGAAAGCAGAGTTGTAGCATCCACACATACCTGTACTCCTAGTATGGGAATCGTGCTAGACGCCATCTTAGCTCACTACGCCTATCACTAAGCTGAAGTCTGGGGCTACTGTTCACCTCCTGTTTGTTGGTTCGTTCATCGTTCACACTTGTGCGCGTACCTGCAGTAGAAAGTTCACCTCCTCTGTTCCTCTGAGCTGTACAGGTGCTGCCGAGCCTTCGTACGCCCAACGCGTATCTGATATTCTCTTTATACGTGTACATTCTACTCGTAGTTTCAAGGGAGGCTATATGCTATCATTGTGATACTTACTGTTGTCTGCCGCACTATATATCTTCAGCTAGTCTGTAGCTTCGATTCTATTTATAGTTTCTAGCGAGACTATATGCTATCATTGTGATATTCACTGTCGATTGCCGCACTTTATGTCTTCAGCTCGCCTGTAGCCTTTGATGCCGCTCACATATAACCATCGCAGGTGTCCAAAGCCTTCAAGCAGATGGTTTGTGGCTTCGACTTCCTGCGTACAAACGGAGAGTCCATGGTGTGCGATGTCAATGGCTGGAGCTTCGTCAAGGGCAATGCAAAGTATGTGAAGGAGATTGCATAGTATGTGAAGGGAGATGCTAAGTATGTAAAGGGGGTTGCATAGTCATAATATGTGAAGGGAAATGCTAAGTATGTAAAGTTGTTTACATTATCTACCTTAGCACGTTCACAAGTACTGGTTCTACTTTCACGACAAAATATCGTGGCTGAGAATTTAAGCTCAGCATCAATGCCCATCCTTAATTGGAAGTTTATGTGGACATACAATGCATGATTTAACGTGTGTCCGCGTTTTTAAAACGTAGAATGACATCGGAATAGCAATGTGCCCAACCTGCACCTGAATGAGTAAACGTTAGGTCTTAATACTGTGATACGCACGCTCGGCAGATACTTTGAGGACACCGCTTTGATCTTAAGGGACACCATACTGCGAGATGTGTGCCCAGACAAGTTGCAAGTGCCACTGATTGACATCCGCGATGTCCCCGCGTCACAGGTGGAAGAGGAAGGCATTATGAGCGAAGACGGAGCAGAGCACCTGGAATTAAGGTATTTTTAAATTATAGTATACTTATATTATTCATAAATACACGCACACGAACACGCACACACACACACACACACACACACACACACACACATATAT